TATTTTCATATAGGTTTAATTTAATTTAATATATAATTTTTCATATAGCTTTGCTGACCCCGTCTTTTTTCGCACCCCTCCTCCCATTCCAGGCTGCTGGGCTCAACAGGCTTGGGGTCACCCCTGCCCAACACACACACACACACACTACTCCTTATAACTTGGGCCAGCTCTGTTTCCCAAGGGTTGGGTAACAGTCTGCGTTCAGTGACTGGCATAATTTAAATTCTTGACATTCTCTCTTGAGCTAGAATAGCAATGCCAGGAAGACATTAAAGCAACCCTCCTCTCTTCTCTCAGCCATTGAAGAAAGATGCTGCGAACAGGATCTTTCATCTCGTTCTCTCTCTTTTTTTTTTAATCGCCAACATTGAAGCTTTTGCTTCAAGGAGACTAAATTCTACAACTTGCGTAGGACATTCTGGTGCATTGCGCGGAATGTAAAAGTGAATTAAACCTAGCTATTCAAGGAGCCTTGTTCGGTCTGCTGAATTCCAGAAAGGCCATTTTATTACCTTATCTCTGTCATTCCAGCTGGTGGCCATAAATTTAACCCAGAGTGTTCTTTTTTCCTCCTCCCTCCCCGTACCTTTTTCCTTGTGTGCTGCATTTTTTTTTTTTCCCCAGACATTAAAACACACCTCTTTCTAAGACTCCCTGGAAAGCTTTTTAACCTAAACAGCAGCAACGGAACAAGCTTTCTGAGGCCATTTGCACCCAACGGCGACAAGGAAGGGAAAGGGAAACAAATATAGCTTATTCGAGCTGAAACTAATTTCCCAGTCAAATTTTCTCCCGTTACAATTTTGCTAACACTTCAGTACTCTCAGGCGATTTGAAGAATTTCCTTGCCTTGTCCTCAAAGCTAAATTGGGAAGGCTGACAACAGATATGGGGGATCTTGGGGGCTAGATTTTTGGGCTCCCCCCACCTTCAATTAGGTTGCCGAAAAGGAGGCAGTGGGGGAGGAATAGGAACCAGGAGTCGGCTTTGGGGGAAAAGATTGTGAAAAGAAAAGAGTTGGTGGGTAGGAAGGCAAAGTGGATATTGTAAGAAAGAACTGGAAACTGCGTTGGCTTGTTTAAAAGATTTGTAAAAGGTTGGCTCAAAGGAGTACTTTCCACAAACTCTTCTTTTTAGATTATTGCAAGAGGAAAGCTGGTTGGTGGCCCAAAAGTAGGACTTTGGTAGTCTTTTTCCAGCTAACACAAATGCATCTTACAATGTTTCTCAGCCTTGGCAACTTTAAGACGGGTGGACTTCAACTCCCAGAATTCCCCAGCGGCTGGGGGAATTTGGGGGTTGGAGTCCACCCGGCTTAAAGTTTGC